CCTCGTTCTCTTCTCGTACGAACGTACGTTTGCAACCTATAAGTATTAGCTCGGGGTATCGATAACCAAGCGCCTACAAATTGGTCAGCCCTCATTTTATTTTATTTTATTTACGTTGGAAATTTTTTCCGAGGAATTTTAATTTCTCTGGGTCACGTTTGTGTTAAATTGTCCGCCCATTTATTTCCACGGAGCCACTCTCGTGCGTATCATTTTAGCATACATTTATCCCCAGTTTTCGGTTTTACCCTCATTTACTATTGGATGTTTTCTCCATTTTTGTTTTTCCAACGCAATTTATATTTCAGGTGCTATTCGGTCATACTTTTGTAGCCCGTTCGAAAATCGCATAGTATATATTTACGCTCAATTATGAATAGCTCCGATCATAAGCACTCCATCGACAGCGAAGCACTCTGGGCCCAAATCAGGGCTCCTGAGTTCATGCCGGAGGATCCGGAAGCGTTCCTCGCAGTTCTGGAATCGCGATTCCATGAAGCTCGCATCACCGGGCAACTATCCCGTTATCATAAGCTGTTATCTGCGATCCCGCGCGACATACTTATCAACTTCAGGGATTTTTACATGAATATCCTGAGCACAACCCGTACGACGGACGGTGGTGGCCCGGTGGTAACGTCACCAATTATCAACCCGGAGGACGAGTGTCCGAATCCCGCCACTACCGCCTGACTTTCCCCATTTGTGTGTTGTATGGCAGCCCTTTGATTGGCCGCTTTCTCCTTTCTGAAAATTGCATCTTTGTATATTCGATAAAAAGAAGCAAAATGAAAAAGAAAAAAGAAGCACTCGTTCGTCGTATGGTAGTTTCAGAAGAGAGACGCATCCAGCTCCTCCTGTCAGAGATCCAATTGGAAAACCTTAAGCCGTCCCAGTTGTTGCGTCAAATGCTTGCGTTAGTCGGCAACACTACGCTGGACGACTCCGTACTACTCCAGATTTGGCTTCAACGGCTTCCGCCATACGTCTAGAGTATTCTGAACGTTTTTGCACAAGCTCATAGTCTAGACTAACGGCTACTGACCGAGCAATGGAGCAGGCTCAACTTTTTTAGCCCTCTTTGGCAAACATCGGGAGCCCGGAGCGAAACTTCGTTCATCAGTCGCTCCCCCACCCTAGTCCCGATAAGCTCCTGCACGAGCTCACGACAGAAATGCAACTATTGTCTCAGCAGTTGGCCGACCTTCGTTTATCCATGGCCACTATGCAAACCACCATCAACAATTTGCACGACCCGTAGTCGAACCCGATCAAGCAACCGGCGTAGGCGAACCCCTTCTACGGGCGGCCTGTGCTATTACCACAGACGTTTCGGAAATCAAGCTGGGAAGTGCGAATCGCCGTGTTCGTTCAAAAACCAACAGGGAAAATAGTAGGCCGGCAGGTCATGGCGACTACTTTAACCGGCTCTCCCACCCCTTGTAGCCTTCTTTTTGTCTACGATAACTCGTCCAAGCTTAGGTTTATGGTAGATACCGGAGCGCAAGGCAGCATAATCCCGTTCACTTAACAGAATTCTGCCAACCCAGCAGCACCGACTTTGCAGGCAACCAACGGAACCCTTATCCAAACCTATGGACAGCGGCTACTGAACTTAGACCTAGGTTTAAGACGCGTCTTACCTTGGGTTTTCGTGGTCACTCAGGTTCCTTACGCCATACTTGACCTTGACTTTCTACAGCACCACGGCCTAATCGTAGATCCCCGCAAGCGACAGAGAATATACCCAGTCACTTCTAGAGTAGTCGTCGGCTCCCTGGTATATTCGGCAACGCAGAATGTACATCTCCCTTTTTCACACGATGATTCCCCATATTCATCGTTATTCCACGAGTTCCCTAGCCTCGTCCGCCCCAGCACCGAGATGCCTCCTATCACGACGGAGGTGTCGCACCACATCGTCACTCGAGATCCACTGGTCCACGCACGTGCCCGTCGACTGAATCCAGATAAGTTACGCACCGCACACGCAGAGTTTCAGCACATGCTGAACATGGGTGTCATAAGCCATTCAGAAAGTCCATGGGCATCCCCTCTACACATGGTTCCCAAAAAGTCGTCCAACGACTGGCGTCCATGTGGAGACTATCGTGCATTCAACCGCGTGACAACCCCGGGTAGGTACCCGATCCCCCACATCACGGATCTGACGTCAGACCTAGCCGGTANTAAGCCATTCAGAAAGTCCATGGGCATCCCCTCTACACATGGTTCCCAAAAAGTCGTCCAACGACTGGCGTTTATGTGGAGACTATCGCGCACTCAACCGCGTGACAACCCCGGATAGGTACCCGATCCTCCCCATCACGGATCTCACGTCAGACCTAGCCGGTGGAACTGTTTTCAGCCGTATTCACACAAGCCGCTCGAGACGCCTTCGATGCGTTGAAACGAGCAATCAGCAACGTTGCAACCCACTTAGACCCATCCACCAAACTAGCACTCGTCACCGATGCGTCCGACCACGCAGATGGCGCCGTTCTCAAACAACAAGTGAGACAGGAATGGCACCCCATAGCTTTTTTCTCCAAAAAGCTCGAACTGGCGGAGTCAAGGTACAGCGCCTTCCGTTTTCCAGCAGTAGTTACAACCGATCGAAGTTCTCATTTCGACGGTGTTTTCGCACAACTACTTGAGCACCTAGGCATTCGCCGCGTTCAGACGACCGCGTACAACCCGGCAGCCACCGGAATGGTCGTCCCTAGCCTTCTAGGGGGGACCTCTGTAGTGACCATTCACATCCCATTCTAAATGTACCCTTCCTCCTATGGATCTCTTTGTTTTATCACTCCAAGGCCACCTCTTTGGTCAGCACATGTTTGCTTTGCAGGTCTGCAGGTCTTTACAATACAAGCCGTCCTCTGTTTCGTTAATCGCCTCGTTCTCTTCTCGTACGAACGTACGTTTGCAACCTATAAGTATTAGCTCGGGGTATCGATAACCCAGCGCCTACAAATCCTTCCAGTCTGGGTTCGCCTGTGCCGCCAGAGCACTTTTCAGTTGTTGATAAAAACGCTCGACCATCCCGGTGGCTTCCGGGTGGTACGCCGTCGTCTGAATGCGGCGAATGCCTGGGTGCTTACGTACTTGTGCGAAAACACCGTCGAAATGAGAACTTCGATCGGTTGTAACCACTGCTGGACAACCGAAATTAGCTATCCAACCACCTACGAAGGCTTGTGCCGCTGCTTCGCTGGATGCGGAAGACAAAGGCACAGCTACCGACTACCAGGTGACACGATCTATACAGATGAGTATATAAATACACCCTTA